TTCCATAGGCATACCGCCTCGGAAACCCAAGGAGGGGTCACTATGATTTGGATCCGACTCGAGGGCAGTATGTTGCGTTGTCGTGCTACTCAATTCTGACTCATGGTGGCCCCACGTGTTAATGAGTAGAACGTCTCCGTAGGATTTTTCTTGGCTGTAATCTTAATGGAATCAGATCGCAGTGCCACTGAGTGGGTTCAAAGAGCCAATCTGTAGGTTAACAGTCAACCAAACCATTTGCACTATTTAGGGACATATGAAATGCCTGCAGCGCTCATTGGAACACAGATTGCTGGATCCCCACCCCAGAATTTCTGATTTAGTAGATCTGAATGGAACCCCAAATGCGTATTTCCAACAAGTACCCAGGTGATGCTGCTTCTGCTATTCAGGGGACCACACGTTGAGAACCCCCAAGTTAGATGATCTCTAGATCCTTGTTTCTCCTCATTTGGGAGCTTGCTATATACAGAAAGTCCCAGCCCCACCCAGTCCTATTGAATTAAAATCTGCATTTACACAAGATTCGCAGGTGATTTTTTAGCACATTAAAATTTGAGAAGCATGGCTTTAAATTTCCTTTATTATTTTATAGTGAAGAAAAATATTCCCTGTCCCTTTGTATCTTCCTATACATGTACACCTACCCACCTACTGTTGTTGTAGGTGCCATCATGTTGACTCTGACTCATAGTGACCCTGTGTACAACAGAACAAAACATTGCCGGGTCCTGCACCATTCTCACAATCGTTGCTATGCTTGAGCCCATTAGACAGGAAGTATTTTTTTCTTCACCTATATATAGACATAGAGAAAAACCTATCTCCTCTTAATTTGCATGTGACAGATTGTGGTTTTCCTAATGCTTTCACTCCCCATACATATGTATATATAATAGCTTAACTAGAGAATGTAGCTTGATTTATGCATTCTTTTAAGTAGGGTCATAAAAACAGGATCAAAGAAACTTTAGAAGTCTAGTCCAGCATCTAGGGGAGAGAGAGTGAGAAGAGGGATGGGCACTGGAGTCTTATTTCAGTTCTTGTAACATACAAACAACATGTCAAAACCCGAAGGCTTTGAGGACACCCCAGGCTTTTTGTTACGTAATTTTGGAGTTAAAATATGAATCATTTTAAGTTGTGGGGCACAACAGAAATAACCTAAAGCAGCAATTAGAGGCAAAATACAATTACAACTGGCTTTAGTGTGCTAGGCATAGATTCCTATTTATCTACTTAAGATGGAAGTCACTTTTATGATAGCATTGGAGGTAAAACTATAATGTTTTCAGTTTTCAAAAGAATTTGCCCCTCAGTTCTTTTTATAGCTTGTTAAAATAGCCTAAGTTATTCAAATTGAAAGTGATAAGATTTGAAAACGCCAAGTTTTGAAGAGCCTGTATAATTAAATTACATGGAGGCCCTAGGTAAGGCAAACAGTTAAAGTGCTCTGCTGCTGACTGAAAAGTTGGAAGTTCAAGTCCCGGCAGGGGCCCCTTGGAATAAAGGCCTAGTGATCTACTTAGGAAAAACCAGCCAGTGAAAACCTGTGGAGCACAGTTGTACTCAGACAGACAGGAGTCAAAGTTGACTCCAGGGCAACTGGTTTACTGGGGGAATACTCACATCCTCCCCCTCCCTCAGGTCTGTACAATAAATTCACCCTTCCTTTGCTTCATGAATCCTGTCCACACTGGCTAAAGGTTTTGCTCTCCTTGAGAGCATAATGATTTTCACCTCCGATTGGATACAGCACTGGTTCGTGTCCAGAATCGAGTCCTTGAGCTGTATGCAGTGAGTCTTACAGGTGGAGGGTGCAATGCGGAGCTGCTGTAGGAGAGGCTCAGAGCAGGTGCTTACAGAGCGTTTACTCGGGAGAAGTGTCATCCCCACAACACAGATGCTTTACTCACGTGGGGTGATTAAGGGCGCAGGGAGGGCAGATTCTGCCTGTGGCTGCTCTTTTTTTTTTTTTTTTTGTAATTGGCTGTAAGTGGGTAGCGTCCCCAGAAAGAGGTCCGTGGAACTAAGGCCAGGAGGAACTTACGAGGTCTGGCGGGATTTTTGGCGGAATGGGGTCCTTGCTGCCGCGCGTTCTGGAGCCTGCCGAACCTGCGGGCCTCGCTGTCGTGGCTATGGAGGCAGTCACTGCGGTGTGGCAGCAGCTCCAGAGGCCGGGGCGCATAGAGGTCCGACTCGATCACCACCTGAGGGGAGAAGGAGAGACAGTCTGATTACTCCTCTCCTCGAACCTCAGGACTGAAGTTTAAGGCTCAGGCCCACAGCTCTGCAGGTCAGAGTTGTGTTGACTGCATTTTTTGGCACTGTCTACTCTAGTGAACGCTAGAGGCAGTAGACAACTTGGGTAGGAAACTGCTAATAAACTAAAAAAATAAATAACCAAACTCACTGCCATGAAGTTGATTCCAACTCATAGCAACCCTCATTGGGTTTCTGAGGCCATAAATCTTTATGGAAGTAGATTGCCCTGTCTTCCATCAGTGGAGTGGCTGGTGGGTTTGAATAGCCAAGCTTCTAGTTAGCAGTCAAATACTTTAGGCACTGTGCCCCCAGAGCTCCTTATGCTAATAAACAGTGTTTTTTTTTTTTTCTTCTTCTTTTCTTTTTTTAATTAACTTCAGACAACCATGGTACAAGAAAATGATGCTTCTGTGGGTTCCTCAACAGCAGCGCCTCACAAAGTCAGGATCCAGAGTCACAGGGCAAAAATCAGGGCAGGTCACCTTCCTGGTGGCCCTACATATGGTTTGACAACAGGATAGAATATTTCTAGTGAGGAAATCATAGACTTACAGACTTTATAGGCAAGTAGAAGCCTTTCCTCACAAAGGGCAGCTTTTTGGGTGCTTTAGCTGAGAGAAGACCTGAGGGGGACTCAGGCCTAACTGATTCTTAGATTTTAAAAAGAAACTTCTGGGAAACAGAGTAGGCATGCTCCCTAAAGCTCACACTTCACTTCTTCCATGTGCCTTTGTATGATGAGACAATCACACACCATGTGTGATTTGGTAAGTGGGAACCACCGAGTACTAAATGGTAAGATGTTATTATGGATTGAATGATGTCCCTCAAAAGGATATGTTGAAAGAAAATAACAAATGCTAGCAAGGATGTGGGGAGATTGGGACTCTCATACACTGCTGGTGGGACTGCAAAATGATACAACCACTGTGGAAAGCAGTATGGTGATTCCTTAAAAAGGTGGAATTAGAAATATCATTTGACCCAGCAATCCCATTACTAGAAGAAGTTAGAGCCAGGGCAAGAACAGATATATGTACACCCATGTTTATCACAGCACTATTTACAATAGCAAAAAAGATGGAAACAACCTACATGCCCATCGACAGAAGAATGGATAACCAAACTATGGTACATACACACAATGGAATACTATGCAACACTGAAGAATAATGTAGAATCTGCAAAACACCGTATAACATAGATGAACTTGGAAGACATTATTGCTGAGTGAAATAAGTCAATCACAGAAGGACAAATATAGTATTAATTCATTATTGTAAAAAGTCCAGGAAAGGTTTATATATGGAAGCAGACTTTCTGTTTTGATTACCAGGGGTGGCAGGGAAGGGGAGGGAACAGTGTAAAAAAAAATGCACTGACCCATGTCACTGTCATTTTGTGTAGTTCACTGTACATAAATTATATTTCAATCAAATGTATTTTTTAAAAAAGATATGTTGAAGTTCTAACTCCTGTACCTATGAGTGACCTTGTTTGGAAATAGGTTAACATGAGGTCATACTGGAGGAGGGTGATTCCTAATCCTATCGAATAGAGATACACAGAGACAGAGACAATAGTGGCTGTGAAGACACATCTACATATCAAGGATTACCAACAATCATTGACCATCACCAGAAGCTAGGAGAGAGGCATGAGACTGACTCTTTCTCAGAGCCCTCAGAAGGAATCAACATGGCCAACATCCTGATTTCAAGATATTACCTTCCAGAACTATAAGGCAGTAAATTTGTACTCTTGTAAACCACCTAGTTTGTGGCATTTTGTTATGACAGTTTTAGGAAGCTAATACAGGTGTATGCTGAAGGATACATTTTGGATACTTCAATTACGCTGAGTAGCTGTTTTGGGAAGTACACTAAGAGGAATTTCCACTTTTAGATAGGACCCATCAAAATGGGCCTTGAAATGATGATTAAAATATGTAAGTCATTGAAATAATTCCAAAGTAAAAACTTGAGACAAGTAATATTGGATATTTTATCTTAATGTAGGGAGTCCATAGGAGTCTTAGTATGCTTTGGCTCATATCTTGCATATTTTCATTCATATCTAGGACACTGGTCTCATTCATTCTCATTTTCCTTATTTCCATGAAGCTTGTTAAAACCTTTAATCACACACTGCAGCTTCACTGAAGTTTGCTTGTTCTGTCCACAAATATCTGATGAGAACATGATCTGCCATATCCTGGATACACTGAGGGTCCTTTTGTGAGCAAGGGGACCCATCTCAGCCCTTACAGTCTAGCCTTGCACAAGTCTCCCTCAATTGTCCACATATAACTGTTGTGTTTGTTGCTTGTGGAAGATGCTGAAGCAAAACGATTGAGTTTTGTATGTGTTAACAGGGTGGTGTTTCAACTCAGTGCGGAAAGATTATATCTTTAATAAATATTGTTGGAAAAATGGGCCATGGGTGAAAATGGATCCCTATCCACACTTCTCACACCAAAATAAATACTGGATAGATGAAAGATTTGTATACAAAAAAAAGAGAGAGCCCACTAGAATAAGGAGTTCTGGCAGCAAAGTACCTAAGGCATTTGACTGCTAACCAGAGGCTGGCAGTTCAAATCCACCAGCCACTCTTTGGAAGGAAGATTGGGCAATTTACTTACATAGAGATGCCAGCTCAGAAACCCAAGGAGGGGTTGCTATGAGTTGAATCAACTTGACAGCAGTAAGTTTGGTTTGATTTGGTAGCATAGAATAGGATGAGTAAAACTTTTGCTAAACATTATGGGGAATTACCCTTACATGCAGAGAACTTTTACAAATCAATAAAGAGGGAAAAATAAATAAATAAAGGGGACAAAATATGAATAGGTGATTTTTTTTCTTTTAGCATTTTGTGATTTAGGTGAAAGTTTATAGAGCAATTCAGTTTTCCATTCAACAATTGGTACATATTTCGTTTCATGCCATTGATTGCAAACCCCACAATGTAATAGCACTTTTCCCATTTCTTCCCTGTGTTTTCCATTTCCATTCATCCTTCTTTCTTATCCCTTCCTACCTTCTAAACTTTGTCCTTGGGCAGATGATGCCCTTTTGATCTCGAATGGTTGATTGTTCTAAGGTGTGCTCCCCTGCCAGATGTTACGGTTCACCTTACGGGTTTGTCTATAGTTTGTCTGAAAGTTGAGCCAAGGGGGGAGAGCAGGTAAGTGCAAAATCAGACTTGAAGTATAACTAAAGACCATAGTTTCAGGGGTTCTCCACCATCTCTATACCAGTAAACCTGATCTTTATAATGATTCTGTGCTTTGTTCTATATTTTTCTCCCACTCTATCCAGGACCTTCTTATGTGATCACTTTCAGAATGGTCAGCAGTGGTGGCTGGGTACCATCTTGTTCTTCTGGTCTCAGGCCCATGGAGGCTGAGATTCATGTGGTCCATTACTCCTTTGGACTAATTGTTTCCATGTGTTTTGATTTTCTTCACTCTTCATTGCTTCAAACACGGAGAGACCAATAGTTGCATTTTACATGCCTACTCACAAGTTTTTAAGACCCTAGTCGCCACTCACCAAGGTAGGATATAGAGCATTGTCTTTATGGACTATGTTGTGCCAATTGATCTTGATATCCCTTGAGACTGTGGTCCTGAACCCCTAGGCCTAGTGACTCATTCCCTCAAGGTGTTTGGTAATAGCTAAGTTTCCATAACTTTGCCCCTGCATGCTCTACTATATTATTAGATATATTTGCAGCACATGTAATTACATATGTGGAAACAACCACTGTCAAACCTATATGTATTCATGGATATAGTCATTCGCCTTCCCATACCTGTTCAGCTTGTGTGTCTATCTATGTATCTACATGTAGGTTATTGTTATTACTGTTACTGCAGGATTGTATATGTAATAATATTTACCTCTTCTGCCTTTAACTCTTGTGTCCTCCCAGGATCTTCCTTCAGCATTTTGTGCTGTCCTTCTCTTTACTGTATATTGCCTCCTCTTTCCCCCAAGTTACTATTGTCTACCCTCTACTTAATGATTTACCCTCTTCCCCTCCCATCTCTAGTAACCATCAAAGAATGTTTCTTTCTGCACATAAACCTTTTCTTGACTTTTTATAATAGTGGTTTCATATATTTGTCCTTTTGTGATTGACTAATTTCACTCAGCATAATGTCCTCCAGGTTCTTCCATGTTATGAAGTATTTCTCAGATTCATCATTATTTTTTTTAACATTGTGTAGTATTCCATTATGTGTATGTACCATACTTTGTTTATCCATTTGTTCTGTTTACCTAGTGCCACTCTGACAAGAATATACCACAAATGGGATGGCTTTAACAAACAGGAGTTTATTCTCTTACAATTTGGAAGTTTTAAGTCCGAGTTCCAAATGCCAGGCTCTAGGGGCTGAGCGAAAGCCCCTCAACCTTGGGCTTCAGCTCTGCTTCCAGCTTCTGGCCCACTGAAGCTAGAGGCATTTCTTCACTCAGCTGCTGGCTACTGAGGCTGAGAAGCCCAAGGTTGACAAGGAAAAAGGCACAGTCCCCATGTTACTAAACCACACGGCAGGCCATTAATTTAAGTCCAGTGTAAGTCCTAAGGTGAGCAGAGCACGGCAGGCTGCTGAACAACGACACTGCTACATGCAGGGTCCAAGTGTGCTATAAACTAGAGACCATTCCCAAAGCTGCTTCTTATATATGGGAAGCAGACCACATACGCAAAGGCAGCTACTCAGCTGGAGTAGCTCCCCTACTCCTACCAGCTCCCACCATGGAGTTGATTGCCAGTCTCATCATGAGGAAGAGCTACCACCAGCTGTCCAGCCATTCAACCAGGCCCAGCCAAGTTGACACACAAACATAACTACCACACCATTCATATGTTAAATAGGCACTTAAATTGTTTCCATCTTTTTGCTCTTGTGAATAGTGCTGCAGTGAACATG